GGGGGACGGCCTCCCCCTTCAAGCAAGCAAGACTCTCTCACACAAATCTGTTCCGATGGTTATCAGTGTGCAGAGCAAACTCAAATTAGATGTTAATATTACTCATTTAACCAAATCGTCCGGAAACTGACTTATTCCAAACTGGGTCCTCTGCAGAAGAGAGAATTTATGAATGTAGAACATTCTGGAAAGAAGTTTGTTTTTGCTGAAAACACTTAAAGAGTATATTATATAATAGGAGGACACCATAAACATTGTGGGAGTAAAGAATTAATCAGAAACATGTTATTTCAAGCAATAAAAGAATTTTACATGAAGGATATACACACTGTATGAATGAGTGATCATGTTTTGAAAAATTCATCTGAAAAACTTTTGAATGTGAGCATTATACAAGTAAATGTAGCCAACAAGTAGCAACCAAATAGGACCTTTGAGATAATTGTCATTCATCAGGGTATTGCTAAACCCCGCATACCCCGCAAACCTCCAAAAAAACACTGCAAACCTCATCCAAACCTTGTGATAATGCTTGAAATACATAGTATAAGTCTCAACTTGGTATCTCAATAAAAAAAATCTTAATTTTATGTTCATCACAACCTATTTTTGGGGTAAAAAGGCCATTTTTTGTATTAAAAAAATTGCTAAATCCCGCAAACCCCTCAAAACACAGTGCAAACCCCATCCATACTATGTGATAGTGATTGAATCATGTAGTATAGGACTCACTTGGTATTATAGTGTTCCATTCGTAAAAACCACTGAATGCTAAAAATAAGTGCTAACTTATGCAGCGCCCCCTAAACTGCGTCAGCAAATAGAAAACAGTCAGAGGTGACAGTCAAAGTGTCATGCGCAATTGTTTTTATGATTCGATAGCCTTATGTTGGGACCGCTTGGTTTGCCTTAGCGTGAGAATGAATGCAAAATGTGAGAAAAGGATACGTTCCTTAATAAAGAAAACACTCATGAACCTTTTTTTTTATCAGTTCATTAAACAAATGAAATCTAGGCTTATTGCAATTAATTAATTAATGCGCTATCGGCGTGTGACACAATCAACACTAACGATCGTACACGTGGTGTTGTTCTGTGATTGATAGTTGTTATTTGGAGTCAGTCGATGTGTCTCCGATGATTTATTTAACATATTTCGATGATTTTTTAAAGATTTTTCGTCAATAAATCATTAAACTGGCCGTCCGGTTTTCAGAAGGTAATTTTATTGTTCCGGACTTAAGAATTTGGCCGGAATTCGGAATTGGGAGATCCGGTTTTCAGAAAGTATTTTAATACAATAAGAATAGGAATGATTTTGGGACTTTAAAAAACGATTTTTCTGGGTGGTCGGTATTGGGAGAGTTGACTAATACTTTTCTACTCAATGTCAATATATACAATGATTGACCCGACTGTATGTATGAACTGTCCTGTGTGGTCTGTAATGTAGGGGATCTGCGAAAAAATGTTGGGGTGGGGGAGGGGGGCCACTACATTTTTAGACCACTTTTAAGATTCCTTATTTTTCTTGTCTTACAAGTGAGATAATAATTAATTGGTGGAATATCGACAATGAGTAAACCTTAATACTTGCGGGGTTTGTGTAGATTTTAGAAAGAGGGCTCTGCAAATGCAAAAAGTTTGGGAAGCACTTTAAAATGTCGAAATTTCTCTTTTGAAATGGTGTACATATATGAGCCTTTGCGTGTTGTTAAAGATTATGTTTGAGATGTTCGTGGAAGAGGCACTATCACATCATGACTATATATGGGCACATCATGACTATATAGAGGCACATCATGACCATATATAGGCACATCAAGTCTATATATGGGCACATCATGACTATATATGGGCACATGACCATATATAGGCACATCATGTCTATATATGGGCATACAACAGTTTTTTGTAAAAGAAAATTTGAGTAAAGTTTATTTTTCCTTTTGAACATAAAACAATTATTCACTTTATGTAAAACAAAATTTGGAAAAAAAAAATTACAAGAAAGTAATTATAGTAAGCGAAATATGGGAGAATGTAACAAAAGGAAGAGGATCAAATAAACTGAAATTGATTCTCTGACTGATCCCCAAAATGGTAACATATAATGAAATATTAAAGAATAATATCATTATTGTTGCTTTACTTTATAACAATAACAACAAAATAATAATGATAACAAAAAAAACAATAATAAGAAATAATAATAATAATAATAATAAATACAAAACATAAGCAATAATAACCAGAGGCAAAACAATATCAGCAAAAACACAATAAAAGTAATAGCAAACAGTAACAATAAAAAAGGAACATTACAGTGACTGCAAAAAACATCATGCCTCAAAGAATAAACAAAAAGCAGCAACAATTACAGATAAATAAATACTTTTTAAAATTGAGCAATTAATATCAATAATGATATTAAAAATGTTAATCGAGATATAGTTTGCTTAAATGATCGTTAAAATACCTCTACAACCTCTTTTTGTTATATTTATTAATATTGTTATCGTTTTTGTTATCAGTATTAATGACAAAATTTAATGGTATTGCAGTTTTTTAATTTGATTCATGTTGTTTTCAGAGTATGCTGTTGAAGAGAACCTGAAAGTTGAAAAATCAATGCCAATATTACGTAGTAAGTTGCAAAATGACATCTGTTTTATTTATTAAAAAAAAACTTGATACAAACATGATTCTGCATGTAATAATATTGGTCAGCTCTTTAAATACAGTTTGCACTGTAAATCTCCACATTATCTTCACATTATTAGTGTATAATTTTAAACAGTAACATAGTAATGCAAATACATATTGTGTATCTTATAACATACCCATTCATACCCCTTGTTGAAGAGCTAAAGTCATAACATTCAAAGTACGTTCTTTGCTGATACCGCCTGATTTATATTATTTATTCCGTATTTATAAGGATTGGGTAATGGAAAGGTAATCATTTAGGACTACCGAATCCCTATAACCTTCTCTTGTTATGAGGTTTGGTGCGCGGGTAGAGAGATATTCACTTGGGACAATGTTTTGTAACCATGTCTCGCTATGAGGCCTGAGGGCAGATCATTTAAGACTCAAGATGCTCCATAACCAAGTGGGGAGCTGATCATCACTAGTAACAGTTCCTACCCGGCCTTATATCTTGCTTCGCATCGTGTGCCACATAAGGCCTTGGACTGTAACTAAATCCGGCAAAACTAGGCGATTGTCAAAAATTTGAGATTGGCACACGGCATCATTCTATGGACTTTTTTGGAGTGTTAATAAATCCGAACAGGGTCAGAAATATGCGCATGTCTAACAAACGATTCCTAGGGCTAGGCTGGTTTTATGCTGGCCTTTAAAAGGAAGATGGGTCTTTGTTGAAGAAGAGCATGCAGGCAATCCAGAGAGAGACAGCAAGTGTTGCATAAAATAACAAATAATGAATGTTTCTTATTTGTACAATTCGTTGAAAGATTGGATGTTCTATTTAACTCTGCTATACCTCGTTGAATAGAACATCCAATCTTTCACCTCATGAAATATTCTACCCCATTGCACTCATAAACATTCATTATTTGTATACTAGTCTAGTGCTCTCAATAATACCGGACTGGTGCATTGCAGTAAGTGATTTTTTGTGTTATTCATTATTGAAATATATAATTTTTCTTATGGTATTTCAGGATTTTAAGAATTATCAATACATGTTACCTCAAATTCCGGGGATTATGATTCATATGCAGAAAAAAGAAACCAGGATAAACTTTCCTAACAGTAAATACGATGAGGTGAGTAAACAGTTATAACAGTCCACGCTTTACCTCAGGTACGCGACTGTTTCTGTTTAAATAATTTGAACAATGTGCTGAATGTCCGATATAAGACTGAGAGTGATGCTGTAAGAAATCCAAGTCTTGTATTTATACCACACAGCATGTAGTGTGTTTAAAAATTTGTATTTTGCAAATTCTTTTGCAGATCATGAAAGTGATTAGTAATTCGAATGAGCATGTGATGGCAGTGGCGGCAAACTTCAGCACTGACTCTCACTTGGTGTGCATCCAGAATGATATGGCAAACTACCAAACGCAAGCCATCAACATCCAAAACAAACCGAGGCAAGGTAAACTATGGAAAAGTGATGGTCTGACCACATATTCAAATTTGCACCATTCATTTTAATTTTTTATTAATGAAGGGCCTATAAGCATTTTATGCTTGTCCCCTGTTTGCAGGAGATCTGAAGATTTACCTGGGACTCAAAACATGTATCTTTTATTTGCACAATTACCTTCTCGGGAGTGTTCAACTTAAAAAATAAATTAAAAATCCATAGAATTACATCCATTTCTTTCATTGTACAATAAACATTGATTACAGTTACTGTAACCAATGTTTATTGGCTGCAGTAACTGTAACCAAAGTTTATTGTACAATAACATTGGTTACAGTTACTGGAGCTAGCTTTGTGGTTTTCAATGGAGCACTGAAGGCAAGCACAGGCTTAATAGCCAAATCCAGCATAGTGGAAGATGGAGTGATGGTGCAGATTCAGCCTGATATGATGGCTGCGTTCCGACAAAGCCTGAGGGAGATGAAGGACTTTAGGATACCGTGTGGACCTGTTGGGGACTCTGAACCAGAGGAAGTTGTTATTGTGAAATGGATAGAAGAAACCAGGAAAGTTAACCAAGGGTGAGTAAGTAATTGCTTATGTGTGAACAGCCTGCGTAACATTCTCCTTGGTCTAATTATCAAAGATATGCCGCAAATAACCGAGTCACTGTCACAGTTGCCAAAAAATATACAGGCTATTTTTCCATGCACCACGCACATCACCATGCTTTCCATGTATGCTTTCCATACCGACTACACATGCGCAAAATCTTACTAAATTAAAACCTACTGCATACTTAAATCCAAGTACAAACAGCAGTAAGATTTGACCAAGGTAAGGTTAGCCTTCATCTTGATTTAAATGAATCCAATGTGAACGCACCTTTATTCCACATCTCTGAGTACAGGTCTCCCTCTAATCAAAGACCCCTCCATTTGAAGACCACTTTTCTGTGGTCCCAAATTCACAAATGTCTTTTGTTTTTATTATTCTAATGAGAGACCAAAGCTGTTAAAGACCATGAAAACCCTGGTCCCAAAAGTGGTCTTTAAGTTGAGGGAGACTTGTACACATTTCATCAGTGAGAGAGTACATGTAGCCTTCCAGGATGCGTTAAAGCCCTTTCCACGCTATAAAGTGATAACATGACATCATCATGCTCATGGGCACATCTCACAAATTGTTCACATAAAATTTGATAGTGTGGACAGAGCTGTAGGTTGGTGATGGATGGAAATGCCTTGGAGGATTTAATTAAAACTGCTTATAAAAAATCAACACTACTGTGTTTCAATTATATTGAAAATTCAATAGGTTAAGATCAATATTTTTTTAATAATTACCCATTTTACACTGCCAAGGGCAGAATAATCCCATGTTAATTCCAGAGTGATCCCTGATGCATTTCCCATTTCCATCAAACGAAAAGTCCTGGTTGGTCCCGAGTTGCTCCCATTTTATACCGGCAACAAACTAGGGTTAAAATACCACCCTCAATTTTTGTTGCGATGGTGATCATCACTTCGTTCCAGTTCAAAGTCGTCACAAAGCCGCAATTATTGCCCGAATTATTGTCAATATTTAAGCAATGTATCTGCAGATTGTTTTTAAATTATGCAAATTAAATCAGCAGTCTATAGCCGAGCGCAGAGTGTTTAGGTTTTGTGTCTAGGTTTGTGTCATTTGTGTCTAGGTCTAGCCCGTTGTTAGCAAAGTTTAGGCCTACCTGCTGCAGTAGGGGCCAGGTAAGGCCTAATTCTGGAATCAAATTCTGTGCTGTTTGCACTCAGTTGGCGACTCCAATGCTAAATGCGTCCTGCACATAGATCCCGGGATATTTATCTACCCAGGTGGTATTTTATGATGTTTACACCAACCACAACTCGGGGAGTTTCTAGCCCAGGTATTGCAAAATCCCGGGTTGTGTCCGGCGTTTTGCCTGCAGCGTAAAAGGAGTATAATTTGTTTCATGGATATAATTACAATTTAAAAAGTAAATGTCAAATAGTGTCATATGGAATTATTGAATTAAAATACTACATGTGTTTGTAGAGTGAAGAGTCCGATAGATGGTAGATCAATGGAAGGCATCGACAACATCCGTATTCCCCATGAACTGACTTCATGGGGAAGACACGTGCCATCCGTTGGACGGAAGTTTTCTTTCTGGAATCGAAAGAAGCAATAGTGCAACATCTTGAGCCAGTCGATCTGAGCCGATTGGCTGAGACCTTGGCAACCTCCTGCTGCGTGGCATTGGTACAACACCTGGACAGCCTGAAGGAATCGGGAATGGCGATATTCGCGCTGCGCGTCATGGTGGATGCTGAACGAGTGAGTGTTTAATTTAATGATGCACATCATAATGGTGAATAGTGATAACCTGATAAAATGGTAATACTATGCTACTGGTGGTGTGATAATTATAGTGATAGTATAATAATAGTGAAATAATGATGGTGTGATGATAGTAATAATAATGATATGGGTATAATAGAAATGTTTTAATGGTATATTAATGATATGGTGATGGTAATAATACTGTGTGATAAGTGATAGTATAATATTTTAAAGATTAATACATTTTTATCATTGTATTGAATATTTTTATCATTGTATTCAATAAATCATTCTTTATCATTGTATTGAATATTTATTGATGTACAGAAAGCATGTAAATATAGCATTATACTTTTGTGATTTTATTTTGGAATAAACAATATAAATTTTAAAGATCTAATAGTATAATAGTAATAATTTGCACATTTAATTAAGATATAAATTGTAATTCAAAAGATTGGTACATTCGATATATTAATAAATGTATTTAAAATAATGATGTATTTATTGGGTTGATGCTACAGGTGGGGTATGAAGCTGGATCCAACGGCATAGCTCTTCCTGCATCTTATATGAACAGTCTCGATAATGAAATGATACCTGTGCTTCACAATGCTGTCTCGCAGTTTGAAGATGGCCCTGTTATCATGGAACTCATCTTCCACATCATAGACTAAGTCATTGGTAAGGTAGCCTGCTTATGCTTATCATAATGTTTATTTCAACGCACAGTACTGTAGCTCTCCATTTACCTAATGTCGCCATCACTTAAATAGTGATCAGTAACTAGCAGGAGTAGGAGCGGTTTGGAGCACGGTGGTTGTTCTGCCTCTCAGGAACCTTGAGATTGGAAGTTCAATCTCTCGCTGTTCTTTTCGCTTGTCTCCTTAGGCAAGGCACTTTATCTGCAGCTCTCTTTCCTCCCAGTAGTATAAGTGAGTACCTGGTAGGTTCAAAACAAAATGCGCTGATTACAGCTACAACATTTATGGAATTCTCCCCACAGGCCTGTGTATGGGTTCGATATGTGCTTGATCCAATGCCCAGGATAATAATATTAAGGGCATAGAGGTCTCTACAATATGCACTCTTTAAATCAACCATTATTAGGCCTTTAAAAAAAAATATGTTGTGTTGCCCTCCGCGACCTACCAAAATTTTCCAAAAAATCGGGTCGGCATTTATTTATTTATTTTTTTGTTGTTCAAATACAAATTCGAGAAATACCACTTCTGAAATTAACATTTACAACATAAAATCTAAAACAGTCATTTACTTTTATCAAAATCGGGCCATAGGCACTATAGGTGAACACGTAAAATCAGTAATATAAAAGGCATAATTTTGAGTGCTACAATGATATACACCCAACATCGGATCTCTAACACTGAGCTGTCAAGCCATGACGAGATCTAGGCCAAACCTATTCTTCACTAGTAGAACTAGCTTAGTGGTTGCTTGAATAAAAAATCGTATTCATTACCTTACGGTATATTGGACAATAAATGAAAACAGGCTTAGGTGTATCCATCGTTTTAAAACCGGTACATAGATAGACATTTTCTGCTTCATTACTGTATTGGGCAAACAATAAACTAAATATTTTTCTCTCGAATTTTACTTTGATTTTATTACATAGAAGGTGCTTGTTTGAACATTTTTCATAGCCACAGAATAGTTTTGCTTGACCTGCCCGTGTTACGTATCGAAGCCAAGTACATCTTTATTTTTGTTAAATTTATTCCAATATACACTTGGTTAGTATTTACTCGGTCATTACTTTGAGTATTTTTTGTTTGGCAAGCTTCCATCGTTCTATTGTGGTGCCTATGAGCTACGAGTCCTTAGGCATAGGCCCTAGGGTTTTCATTATAGGGACTGCAGTTCCAGGCCTATCCTATTTCAGGTTTAACTACAAGGAAAAAAAAAAATTCCGACCGACCGACGACAGGCAATCTCATGAGAACAGAATATTTTTTTAAAAGCACCGCTCTCGAATAAGTTGCACAATGAACCCTCCAAAAATTTTATAAGTACCGTGGCGCTCATTCAAGCATTTACGGTAACACACCAAACACTGTAATTGTAACATGTTTGAAAACATGAAATAATTGGCTTACACCAACTGTCATGATTGAAATTTGACAAAGCTGTTTTTTGCAGCATAAACTTTTATTTACATTTGTTAATAGACTGGTAACATGGCCGGATGATTAGGGTGTTAGTCCTCCAGTGCGATAGTTCTGATATCATGCGTTATTGATATTTAACATTTCTGATTTAGGAACAAGAGGAAATATTATGAAGGCAACATTTACACAGGATGTATTACAAAAATGTATATTGCAGTTGCTGTTGTGTTCAATCTATACCCAGCCACATATTTGATTAAGTGAAGCAATCTTATAAACAGAAGAAGTATACAGTATATATATATATATATTTCACTGACTGACTTAAATTAGCCCATCCTTAAGGTTAGATTTGGGGTACGCCCTCACTTATCACAAAAATACTGTATAAAAGAATATGTTTTCTACCGGTTTAATATCCATTGTCTAAACAGAAACTTATTTATATATTTAACATTTATCTTTTGATGGAAATATTCTTAATTATAATGCGTAACATCATTTCCAATTAAATATATTTCTAATTTTTAAAAAAGTATTCATTAAAATAATAAGATGAAATAATGGAAATATTTGTAGAAAGTACTGATTGTTTTTTTATACTTAGATAACATATATTTCTATAGCTCAGAATGAACTTGTTAAATGTTAAACAGTATAATAGATTTGTTGATTAATAGTATGTGTCCCAATACATTTCTATATAAATATTATGTTTTGTTTTATTGGGTATTCATCACTACTATTGCTAATCTGTTTAATCTAAAGATAGATTCCATGGTAAAACTGAGAGTTGTCAAGCTGAAGTTACTAAATATTCACAATAATCATACACATCATAAATAAAATGTAGAATATTTGTGCCATTGGAAATTTATTGGCAAATATAACAAATTTTATTTTGTGATACCTTCAATAACAGCTGTCTCTTATACACATCTAGATGTGTATAAGAGACAGCATATATACAACAGAAATCATTTTATTGTACAGTTTATTGTGTGTGTGTGTGTGTGTGCACACATGTGTGTAGATTAGAAAAAAAAGTTGGCTATGTACATCTGCATGCTATTATCAGTGTAGAAAAAAGTTAATAAGAAATTACTTTCATAATATCCTTATAGTGAAATGTTTTAGGGCTCAGGGCTAACTAGGTTATGTTTAGGCCCTGGGCAAATAATATGTTGGGTATTTAAAGAACAATTTTTCCCCCTCCCCAACCATTTAATAGACAGGGGTCCCAAGTCACTTGAAAGTCACAGGGTCTCCCAGAAATTGGAACAGTCTCCAGCAAGCAAGCAAGAATCTCTGGGAATATAACACATTTTCTGCAAATTCATAATATTTGCATGTTTTTACTAAGCATTCTCATGTCTCACGGAAGTCAGTGCTAATGAGTGTCACCATCACCAGCAAAATATGTTAAATTATGGTCAGGATGACATCACATCATGAACATATATAGGCACATTATGACTATATATGGGCAAGATGTGTATAAGAGACAGTCCCAATACATTTCTATATATATATTATGTTTTGTTTTATTGGGTATTCATCACTACTATTGCTAATCTGTTTAATCTAAAGATAGATCCCATGGTAAAACTGAGAGTTGTCAAGCTGAAGTTACCAAATATTCACAATAATCATACACATCATAAATAAAATGTAGAATATTTGTGCCATTGGAAATTTATTGGCAAATATAACAAATTTTATTTTGTGATACCTTCAATAACAGTATTACAATATCTTATATGATATTTAAGATGTTTATTTATGTTAGCCTAATTGCATTAGCCTCAGTAAAGTAACTCAAACCATTTAGCTAATCTAGGTTCTTGGCTTTGAAAAATTCCTGTTATTATTGTTAAATACCAAGTTGGTTTCCTGAACATGGAAAACTACTTTGAAAAAAAACTGTGCTATTTATCATTTAGTCATTTATTATTTATCATTTAAATATGGTCATGGTGATATCACATTATGATCATATATAGACACATTATGACTATATATGGGTATACAACAAATCTTTATCATTTAGTCGCCACATATTAAAGTGTGAATGGTAGTACAACTTTGACCAAGATAAAGTTACTGTTGTGCAACATTACCCTAATGTGAACATGGCTTTGGGGCGTTTTGTAAAAAGGAAAAGAATCAGTACTTCAGATCAATCTTATTATTAATGAAAATAATAGATTTATATGGCACAAATTAGTGGAATCACCGAGCAGTTACAGCTGAATACGTAAGCCTTGTCCAGAATATCAAAATATATTTGACAAAAACAAGTGACATGCTTAAATATGGTCATAATGACATCACATCATGACCATATATAGGCATGTTGCAAATGCTAATGTAGAAAACAACAGCTAATATAGTAACAACTGTTAATGTAGCACACACAACCCCAGCTAATGGGGGGGGGGGGTGTCACATTTTTTCATAAAACCCCCCAAAAAAAGGTGGAACCGGCTCCTTCCCCGGAAAAATTTTGTTTCCTAGATGGCGGTAAATGAGCTTTTGTGACTTCTAATTTTTCCAATGTAACATAAAATTTTTTTTTTT